AACTATATGCTAAAATCCTTCTATGGCTTTGACTGTGATATATCAAGGACTTAAAATATTCAAAGTCCATGGCTATATCATGACTGATGTATAATTTGTGTCTTAAGGTCTCAAACAAATGCCATAAGATCTACAAGTTTTACTATCAAATTTTGCATTCCTTAATAAAATCATGATTAATGATCTCTGCATAAAGAGATACTTGTGACATAAGTCTACCATTTGTGGTTTACATGTGATAATAATGTAGTATGGCTCTCACAGACCATTTCAACACAAAAATTTGAAGTGATATAAAAAATGGTTTCCATCACATTAGGTACCTATTGTTTTATTAAATAAGACCTATTGTCTTACATTAACTTTATCTACTTTTATAAAGATCTAATGTCTAATATTAGCTTTATTTACTTTTATAAAGATCTATTGTCTAATATTAGCTTTATTTACTTTTATAAAGATCTATTGTCTTATATTAACTTTATCTACTTTTATAAAGATCTATTGTCTTATATTAACTTTATCTACTTTTATAAAGATCTATTGTCTAATATTAACTTTATTTACTTTTATAAAGATCTATTGTCTTATATTAACTTTATTTACTTTTATAAAGATCTATTGTCTAATATTAACTTTATTTACTTTTATAAAGATCTATTGTCTTATATTAACTTTATCTACTTTTATAAAGATCTATTGTCTAATATTAACTTTATCTACTTTTAAAAAGATCTATTGTCTTATATTAACTTTATTTACTTTTATAAAGATCTATTGTCTAATATTAACTTTATTTACTTTTATAAAGATCTATTGTCTTATATTAACTTTATTTACTTTTATAAAGATCTATTGTCTTATATTAACTTTATTTACTTTTATAAAGATCTGTTGTCTAATATTAACTTTATTTACTTTTATAAAGATCTATTGTCTTATATTAACTTTATCTACTTTTATGCAATCATTAGAAAACCCTAAAAACCACTAAAAATTAAATGACCCTAGTTTGACCCTGACAATTGATTATTGATAGCAATGAGAGATTTATGAAAGATTTTAAGCATTCTTGATTTTTCAGGAATTTCTTTGGTTTGTCTGCATTATGTGTAGATCCTATCAGTTCTATTGACATGACCTTGACCCAGGTTGTCAGTTTGTAGTTGTATGTCTGACAAATAACCCTGGGGTGCCTAAAAACAGGGAGTGACAGATTGGCAGAATGGTATATTGTGACTAGTGGATTCTTTATAGTTTTTGCTGTGTCTCATTTCTTGGGTAGGTGCAAGCAACATTATACACGTATGGAAACAGGTATCTCCTAATACTATGCATGTAGCACATTACATGTTAGCAAGTATCTGTAAAATATTAACAGGAATTTTCGCTAAACATTATGTGACAAATAATACATGTATGCTTAAGCTAGCTGACATATCCTTAATACCTAAATAAAATTAATGAAAGGGATAATGAAATCCTATTAAACTTAAAACCTTTCAAAATGAACATGGCAATGAAAACCTGTGTTCTAACATCCTGTTTACATGCACATGAAGTTATCTGAAAACAATGAGGCGTTCCAAATATGCTCAATAGTTATGAAAACTGAGAAGATTGGATGATTTATAATTCCTGTTTCAAAATATTTAAATTTTGTTGCTATGCATAACACAAACCACACCCCCAATAACAATGCAACTGTCTGTGGATATGATTTCAAAGAGTTTTACGTATTCTCTTCTAGTCATTTTCAATATATTCATACAAGGTGTCCTTTCTAATCTAATATTTACATATAGATGTACCTGTTAATTGAATTATTGTGTCATGTTACCTATATACCCTTACCCAACACCTGCTATAACTGTATGTAAATTAGACATGTCTCTGTCACCACTTTCCAGCTCCTGAGATGTCTATACATCATCCTGTCAACCATATGGTTATCTGGACAAACAAAGCCCAGTGATTGGTCAGCTTTGGTCATCGGTGAAATATGTCAAAACCTGCAGATGGCATGTGGTTCATGTGTGACATGTCACCACACCAGTGTGGTGTGATCACCTACGACTGTCACTCCACGGCACCATATAGGTAGTTACAGGGCAATTAATGACCAAAGATCTAACATAATCATGAAAGATGGTAAAAAGTAAGTTCTTTTAAATATTGAAAGCTGTCTGCAGGCGGGTGGATTATCAGAAAGAAACAGACATTTGTAAATTGATCAAGTAACTCAGTATGATTGGAAAGGATGCCAGATGAGACAACCAAAATAAAAAAAAGAACAAGTGTGGTTATAATAACACCTGCACCAATTTAATGACTAATCATTGACCATAGTCTGGCGGATAGGACTTTACATGGTGGCCCATGTGAGGACTGTGTTACTCTCGCACATTAAAGGTGGCCGGTGTGAGGACTGTGTCACTCTTGCACACTAAATATGGCCGGTGTGAGGACTGTGTTACTCTCGCACATTAAAGGTGGCCCTTGTGAGGACTGTGTCACTCTCGCACACTAAATATGGCCGGTGTGAGGACTGTGTTACTCTCGCACACTAAAGGTGGCCTGTGTGAGGACTGTGTCACTCTCGCACACTAAAAGGTGGTTATAATAACACCTGCACCAATTTAATGACTAATCATTGACCATAGTCTGGTGGCGGATGTGTCAGGTGGCCCGTGTACTGTGTCACACACTAAAGGTGGCCCGTGTGAGGACTGTGTCACTCTCACACATTAAAGGTGGCCGGTGTGAGGACTGTGTCACTCTTGCACACTAAATATGGCCGGTGTGAGGACTGTGTTACTCTCGCACACTAAAGGTGGCCCGTGTGAGGACTGTGTCACTCTCGCACACTAAAGGTGGCCCGTGTGAGGACTGTGTCACTCTCGCACACTAAAGGTGGCCCGTGTGAGGACTGTGTCACTCTCGCACACTAAAGGTGGCCCGTGTGAGGACTGTGTCACTCTCACACACTAAAGGTGGCCGGTGTAAGGACTGTGTCACTCTCACACAATAAAGGTGGCCGGTGTGAGGACTGTGTCACTCTTGCACACTAAATATGGCCGGTGTGAGGACTGTGTTACTCTCGCACACTAAAGGTGGCCCGTGTGAGGACTGTGTCACTCTCGCACACTAAAGGTGGCCCGTGTAAGGACTGTGTCACTCTCACACACTAAAGGTAGCCCGTGTGAATACTGTGTCACTCTCACACACTAAAGGTGGCCCGTGTGAGGACTGTGTCACTCTCGCACACTAAAGGTGGCTGGTGTAAGGACTGTGTCACTCTCACACACTAAAGGTGGCCCGTGTAAGGACTGTGTCACTCTCACACACTAAAGGTGGCCCGTGTGAGGACTGTGTCACTCTCGCACACTAAAGGTGGCCCGTGTGAGGACTGTGTCACTCTCGCACACTAAATGTAGCCCGTGTGAGGACTGTGTCACTCTCACACACTAAAGGTAGCCCGTGTGAGGACTGTGTCACTCTCACACACTAAAGGTAGCCCGTGTGAGGACTGTGTCACTCTCGCACACTAAATGTAGCCCGTGTGAGGACTGTGTCACTCTCGCACACTAAAGGTAGCCCGTGTGAGGACTGTGTCACTCTCGCACACTAAAGGTAGCCCGTGTGAGGACTGTGTCACTCTCGCACACTAAAGGTGGCCCGAGTGAGGACTGTGTCACTCTCGCACACTAAAGGTGGCCAGTGTGAATACTGTGTCACTCTCACATACTTAAGATCCTTCAGTGCCTTTTTGAAAAAGAGCAAGCATGATAATGCCGGTCCAGGTGTTTAGGGATAATGTTTGACTATACAATTGTTTTGAAGGCATTTGACAGACTTCAAATTAACCTTAAAGTGAACCAAATTTATGTAGGCCCAAATTTTTTCCTTTCCACTTCTAGACATATTTCAGACTGCAAGAGTTAGGATAAGGCATTATTTGATCCTGGATCTAGCATAATCAAACATTCACTGCTACAGATGGTTCCAACCCCCTGAGGGGGATGCAGGTCACTCCCTCACATTGCCAGAACACTCATGTTCAGAGTTACAGAGACAGAAAACCTGTCAACCAACAAACCAACCATCAACCAACCTTCAAATCTGAATTTGACTGAAAAATGTTTAAGGTATAAACAACTAATCACAAGAGATTGATTTCTACAGCAAGCTAATAACAGATGCTGTTCTACAGATATCACAGCAAGTGAGCAGCTGTCTTTTCAAACATTCTCCTATATATATATATTACATTGAGTTAATGATAACAGATGCTTGGTTTGTACTTCCCCAGCAATTTTTCCTTCTTCATTATTACAGGACAAGTCAAAAGTTACATAATGTCAATAGTTATTACTTTCCTCCTACATATATTACAGTGAGTCAATTTTTACACCATGTCAATAGTTATCACTTCCCACCTACAGATATTACTGTGAGTCAATTTTTACACAATGTCAGTAGTTATAACTTTCCTCCTACAGATATTACAGTAAGTCAATTTTTACACTATGTCAATAGTTATCACTTTCCTCCTACAGATATTACAGAGTCAATTTTCACACAATGTCAGTAGTTATAACTTTCCTCCTACAGATATTACTGTGAGTCAATTTTTACACAATGTCAGAAGTTATTGCTTTCTTTCTATAGAGACTACAGCAAGTCAATATCTACTATGTCAGAAGCGGTCACTTTCCTCCTTCAGATATTATAGCGAGTCAGTTTTTTACATGTGACAATAGTTGTCATTTTCCTTCTACAGATATTACAGGAAACTTTGTAATTGTTTTTTTTCACTTTTTCACTTGCTATATACATTACAAGTAAACAGTTCCTTGTTGCAGCAAGTTTATGGTTGCTATTTTCTCTAATTCTAATTTTACAGAAAAAAAAACCCCAACAGTTTTACTGCTTACATTTACAATTTCCTGTAGTTTCACAATAAATCTGACAGATTCAATTAAAACTTTTCTACTTACCTCCCTTTCTGGTACAAATGTGCTTATTCCCCCTTTATGCACTTGTGGAATTTTATATGACTTCTCCTGTAAAAAGAATTAAATGATTTAAAAACGATACATTTTATCATTTTTTTCCAGCTCTCCCTTGTCATACAATTTGTTATAATGAAGGCTCATTTTCTCCCAGATGTTACACACAATGATATCCTTTTGATGAACTCAAGGTAATGATAATATGTCAAACAAGACTGTCTCATGATCAGGTGATGTGATAAAAAAGACAACACTGCTGGTATTCAGTATTCACCTAATGATATTTCACAGAAGTACAATGTAGAAGTATGTATATATTAATGTCACCATTTTTAACAGGTCTATATCATATTTCTAACTACAATGAAAAATTCTGTTTGTGTTTTGATTATAATATTACATCAAGACCAAAATAACCTGTCACACTGATTCCCCTGATGGAATATTCATAACCGACCATTACTGTTTAACCTGTCACACTGATTCACCTGATGGAATATTCATAACCGGCCACTACTGTTTAACCTGTCACACTGATTCACCTGATGGAATATTCATAACCGACCACTACTGTTTAACCTGTCACACTGATTCACCTGATGGAATATTCATAACCGGCCACTACTGTTTAACCTGTCACACTGATTCACCTGATGGAATATTCATAACCGACCACTACTGTTTAACCTGTCACACTGATTCACCTGATGGAATATTCATAACCGGCCACTACTGTTTAACCTGTCACACTGATTCACCTGATGGAATATTCATAACCGGCCACTACTGTTTAACCTGTCACACTGATTCACCTGATGGAATATTCATAACCGACCATTACTGTTTAACCTGTCACACTGATTCACCTGATGGAATATTCATAACCGACCATTACTGTTTAACCTGTCACACTGATTCACCTGATGGAATATTCATAACCGGCCACTACTGTTTAACCTGTCACACTGATTCCCCTGATGGAATATTCATAACCGGCCACTACTGTTTAACCTGTCACACTGATTCACCTGATGGAATATTCATAACCGGCCACTACTGTTTAACCTGTCACACTGATTCACCTGATGGAATATTCATAACCGGCCACTACTGTTTAACCTGTCACACTGATTCACCTGATGGAATATTCATAACCGGCCACTACTGTTTAACCTGTCACACTGATTCACCTGATGGAATATTCATAACCGGCCACTACTGTTTAACCTGTAACATGACTTATAACTTTCTTTATATGACCTTTATATGATAGTAACCCTATCTTTATATAATAGTAACCCTACCTTTATATGATAGTAACCCTACCTTTATATGATAGTAACCCTACCTTTATATAATAGTAGCCCTACCTTTATACTCTATATTAATATGGCTTAACATGACAGATCATTACAGTTCTGAATTCATCATTGAAAACTGGAATGTAGCAATCATTATTAAAAACTGAATTCAAACAAAGGGCATTCTTAATGTATGTATAAGCTGGTATGAGAAAATAATTTGTGCTATAATAGAAACCTTCAAAAACATATTTATCTTAACAGAAGGCCCATCCCAAATAAGTACATATACATTTCTTTCATTCTTGTTTATAATTTGACCACATGTTAATTCTAAACAAACATACACCACATTGTATATCATTATATCTGCACTATCTAGTATCTGGTCTGCATAGAAATTTTGTGATATTATGCCATGTTCCTAGGGACATGAAGACACATATATAGACTGATGACAAGGGAGATAATTCTGTGGGAAGTGTTGGGATTTAATTTCATAAATAGTGTAATGACTTTTGTAATACTGTAAATTAGCTCAGGAATAATTTAAATGGATTTCAAGCTATTTTCTTTGGTCGTGTGTAAGAAATATTAATGTCCAATTGAAAGTCATTCCCATTAGCTTCAGACCACTTTGCACTTTTATGACAGCCACAAGATATATTAAAGCTGTTGAAAGACCCTACAACACTGCTGTCTGTAACAGTGACACTATCTGTTAAAAGTCATTGCCTGGATATTACAGAGCCTCCAGCAGGTCCACCTGATGTAGGTGACAATGTATCTTAAATCTTAGAGCCAGCTGACAATCAGCAGATCCAAATATAATACTTGAAGCATCTTTAAATCATTGAAGCATGCAAACCAGGTATATCCTTATGAAGGTAAGGTTATAAGGTAAAGTTCATGGCAGTAATGATACACAGCCAGTCAGATCGCTGACTCAGCAGATTCTATAGAATACATAGCAATAGGAAGAGTCAAGGAGACCAGTGACCATCCACCTGATGGTCAAGTCTGGTATAAACCACTGACTGATCTTTGGTTAAGGTATTAATTGTGACACACTGACTGGTTTTCAGTACCAGACTTTCTGACACATTAACAAGTGAATTTTCTTTTCTATATCGTAATTGTAACAGCCTTATAATCATACAATATAATGTACATTGTACTCTCCTGTATGTCAGTGAAAAGCTTGAGAAGTAGTTCATCTCCTGTGTATATAACACTATAGAAATAGATCCACATATATATGTAATTATGTTATAAAACATTGCGATTTAATTACACTCCAGTACAGATTAATGTTTAGACAATTATCATAATCACTACCATTAAACTATGATAAATTATCACATGTAGGCTATATCCTATCTACTAAATGTTTATATACACTCAGTTATTCCTGTATCATAGACTGCAATGTCAAAAAGTATATCATTTCACTTGTGTGACCCTCAATCAGTTAAGATGTCATTACTAACAAGATGTAACACAATGATTTTAATTGTCTGCCCATCATACTCTTATATGCATGGTGGAGCTGGAACCAATCGATGTCACATCAATTGATCATGTTGATTACTGGTTTGTTAATGATGTTTTCCTGAGTAACTATTTCCTGAATGATGTTTAATGTGTTACAGAAGAGAAATGATAACTTATAAAATCAACTAAGTCAAGTCCTTAGAGGCCGACATTTATAAAGCTAGACTCAAAGTCAGGGAGTGGGCTTATTTCAGGACCCCAGAGGTCAACACATTACTCTTTACTCAAAGTCATAGGGTTGGCTTATCAAAGGATAATAGGCACAGAGAACCTACATACAAAGCCTGACTCAAAGTCCTGAGGTGGGCTTATTACAGGACAATGCACCGAGATAACCAACATATAAAGCATGACTCAAAGTGTTGAGATGGGCTTATTACAGGACAATACACCTACAAGGCCAACACATAAAGCCTGACTCAAAGTCCTGAGGTGGGCTTATTACAGGACAATGCACTGAGAGAACCAACACATAAAGCCTGACTGAAAGTCCTGAGGTGGGCTTATTACAGGACAATACATCTAGAGGGCAAACATATAAAGCCTGACTGAAAGTCCTGAGATGGGCTTATTACAGGACAATACATCTAGAGGACCAACATATAAAGCCTGACTCAAAGTCTGGGAGATGAATATGGTATATGTATTACAGTTGGTAATGTTGGGCTGACGGGATACTGAATATGATCAGCTGTATCCAAGGTATATTTATCATGTCATCAGGTGTCAGTATTGTAATGTCAGATTAACTTCACTCCTGGTATATCATACTTTATGGAAATTGTATAACTCTCAAAATGAAACATTCTCTGAACCAATAACTGTAAAATGAATGGACCTTCAGTTGCCAAGGAAAATGTTTTACAATTAGAGTTCATATGTCTTGGAAACTTTCTTATATCTCCGGACAAGGTGAGGTGTTGCCTAGGACAGACAATATTTATTAATAAATTATCAGTTATTTCACCTCTAAGGATATTGTTATCTTTTAGATGGGAATTCTACAAGAAAATTTTTAAGAAAAACTTTGGCTATTTGTTAACTCGATCTGAAGAAGTCCACAACTGTATAAGCCTGTGTCTCGATCTGATCAAGATACTTTACTCTTTGTTTAATATTGAAGTGAAATCAGAAAACAGATTAACAATACTATTAATACATTGTTATTTGGTGTTCTAGTTTTTGAAACTGTATATTAGTATCGAGAGAAAAGTTTGTTTTCTCTTTGTTCTCAATCACAACAGCTGGTGTCCACATTCTTGTAGCTAGTAAATGGTATGGTAGGACCAAACACTGATCAATATTTCCTTAAGTCTAATATTCCACAATTAGTAGTCAATATTAATGCCCCCACAACACTTAATCACCATTGACTCTAAACCCTGACACACATTTCTGGTGTAACTTGATTCCACTGACCACATACAACAAAAGCATTGATATGGAACCTTTTGTATAGGCAAAGTCCAGAAGGTGTTTATAGTTTTTACACTTGCCACTTCTGTTTATCTCCACACACTTTTTGACCTGCAGTCCCTATTTGACAGAAAGCTGTTGCTAGGCAAGTTTACAGGTGTCAGACTAGTCATTGGTCAGAGCAGGTGCCCCTTACCAAACAAAGGCATTCTTTACATCAACAATAAAGAACTGGTAATGATTACGACCATAGTGTTCACTAATACAACAGCAAGGTGTTAAGTTTTATCTGATTACTGACATCATTTGTTACAAACTCTATTGCCCAGCATATCAAGTTTTCAAAAACTAACAAATAGAACCTTCTTTTAATAAACAAATTTCCCGTTTGGTAAGTTAGAAGTGTGAAAACTGATTATCTATACAATGATGTGACAAGAGGGAAAGTACGAATATGGTTTACTGATATCTAATGCCAAGGAAATATAATTGGATATCTGTAATAGTTTTAAATACAGTCACTCAGCTGACGGAGCATGCTCAAGAAAAACAGAGGGAGTAGTGTAAAAGGAGTGGGTTGGTTTGGCTTATACATAGTGTTAAATATGGTCTCTGTCACTCAGCTGACAGCCTGAGCATGCTTCTTCTGCTCAAGTGGTAGAGCCAGTTGATAATGTGTCTGAGATCTCAGTTTGATTCCTGATTTGGGCATCACAAGAAAATCTATAGCATGGATCAGCAAAGCCAATGCCTATAAAAAATATCTCCAACACAGTCACA